CCTCCCAGTGCGCATTTGTTCGAGTTCTGCCTCTTATTGAGATACTCGCCTGGTTAGCCCCCCGACCATGGAGCGTAGCCCTCCCACCTCGGACTGGACTATCTCCGCTGTAGACTGCAGCTTGGTAACATTCAGGTGTACTTGGGTTACCTCCTCGCGTACTTGGGTCGCATGGCCTGCGTTATCTCCTATACCGGTCTGTATCCCTGCCACCCATCCTGGGGTTGTCTCACGGGATCCCGGAGGCTCCCTCGTCCCCCCCCCCTCACCTCCTCCTCTGGAAGAAGACTTGCAATGGTGCTATCCCGTCCCAGCCGTCGGAATTCCGCACGCTCGCTAGCAAATCTCTCACACACACGTGCGCGTGCTCGGCAAGGGTGCTAAATGGGGGATATGGGCAGTTCGCATCTGGCTGACACCCCGTTGTGCTTGTCAGATGCTGCTGAACTTTCTCGGCGGCAAGGTCATCGATGATCTCGGCAGTGTATCCCGGGCATGCGCTCTGTGTTAGCAAACGTGATTTATTTTCATGCGCGCTCACTGAGATCCGAAGTGAGAAGTTCACATCGTTGTCGTGGTGGTAGTTGTTGTTTACCCAGGTAGAGCCTCGCTCCTTCTCTGTCTTGTAGGGAGGCCGCTTTGGATTGCACCACTTTTCGATTTCACATTAACATGCTAATTTATTACGTTAACATCACTTGCCCCGGCCACTTCTTTATGACCCTTGGGCTACACCCATTTCAAACCTTCTAAAACAGTCTGCCTCAGCAGCAGACCATGCATTTTCTATCAGAGTGTTTTTGTTTGCATTCTGACCACAAGTATTGTGGTTAATGCACACATGATTCCTTGTTAAAGGTTTCAGTTTGGTGTTTTAACATCTTAACACCTGTTTTGTTGCCAGAAAAACGGAAAAAACCTATTCTCATATTTTAGTACTGGAAAAGGTTCCATGATGAAATATTACAGTATATTATAGGTGAGCCGTGCGTGTGCAGAGAGGACAATAAGGACCTGGAAGTTAATTAATTTTGTGGCAAAAATGCAGGCCTGATAATATGTAAGGATAATGTGGTAAATGAGAAAAAATATAGCAGCGGCGGGGTGTTGGAGTGTGCAGGTGTTACAGGTGTTAATGGTGAACAGGTAAGCTAAAAATTGTGTGAAAAACATAACTTACCCTTGAGTACGCATGGAATTTTTGATGTGTGTTTGTTTCATAGTGTTGGCGCAATTTGGTTCTCAAAAAAACACAAAGTCTGCTTTTTTTATATACATTTAAACTCATCTTGGAATGTTTTGTATACGGTTTCTCCACATTTATTTCAGTAATTTAGTTTATTGGGAATACAGTACAGTACTTATTATTTAGGTCAGGCTTAAATGTTAAATATCGGCATTTTAGCTTTCGCACGGCACTTTCCAAGAATGTAACCTCCACGCTATTCAAGGGGCTGCTGTATTTTTTGTCCATCAGCTATAGTACAGGAGTACGGATTTTCAGCAGAAACTAGATCTGCTTTCTTGGTGTAATTACAGCCTATAGTACCATAAAGAGGCTTGGGGTTTTGGTTTGTTTTTGGTTTTCGATGTCTCTGCCTCTTCTCACAATCGTTGAGGATTTTTATGATTTTTGGCTGGCCCATCTAAAGTTGCGTGACCAGGAGTCGGATCCCTTTCTTGTTCAATTTGGCTTGTGGCCGAAATTCCCTCTAGCCGCATGCATTACATTACGTAGCATTTTCAAATAGTTGTGTTTTGAGAAGCTCACAACGACCCTATAAAAAATGCATTTGATACAGTAACAATGATACGCTAATCAATGTCTGGTTATAGTCAAGGGATTATCCCCTGCTGGTCAACCATGTTACGCATGTTGATGATCTGGTCATGGCTACTCAATGATATTGAGTTGGAGAATCGTGTTCTGTACCTGGAGAATTCCATGACGAAATGGGGCCTTGCATATGTTCTACAAAAAGATCACCTCCCTGTGAAAATCTTGACTTAAAGCTTTCGTAACTGCAGGAATTCATATTCTTTGGGTCTTTCGGTTAAGTGACGTGACTTTACCGAAAGACCCAAAGAACACCTCCCTGGGAATTTAATGTCATACAGCACTGCACCTGCTCAGCTCTCCATGAATAATCAGGTCGTTCTACACGTGGTGGAGGAGCTCCTATACCTGGTTAATGTGTTCACGACCAGCTTTGGTTTGGCATCCAAAGTCTCACTTCAAATTGGTCTAGCAGCATTCTTTCATTAGGCTCTGTAACACTATGTGGAAGCTGCCTGGACTTTTTTTACGTACAAAGCTGTGAGTGTCCATCACCAAGGTCTAGTCCATTGCAAAGGTCTCGTCAAAAAACAGGCAATAGTCTACATTATAGACTGCCAATACACTCACCGAGGTTAAGAACCAGGCTGCAGTCTACATTATAGACTGCCAGTACGCTCACCCAGAGGCGTAGCTGGGGGGGGCAGGGGGGTACATATGTCCCCGGGCGCCAAGGTAAAGGGGCGCCTAAAAGAGGCTTACAACGTTACATTATCACTTATTGCGGCGGGCGCGGCAGCCTGAAACTACTGCGCAAATCTACACCTCAACCTAAAAGTTTATATATCCCGCCACACACAGCCTACATTGCATGTAATTACATTTTCTCAGGTCATAAGATTTGTGGATGTGGATTTTCAAACTAAAAAAGTAACTATCAAAAAATCATTTTTAGGTTATATCGAGATACATGCAAAAGATGCAGCAAGCCTAGAAAGAGTCATCTTCGAGATACTGAAATTTGACAACATACCTCTAGCCGACTGTCAGGCACAATGTTATCACAATGCTGCTGTGATGACTGGGCATATATCCGGCCTTCAACAACGAATATGTGACAAAAATCACAGAGCATTGTTTGTCAACTGTGACAACCACAGCTTAAACTTAGCAGGAGTACACTCAGCTAAACAGGATCCACTTGTCGTCACGTTTTTTGGAACAGTTGAAAGTATATATTTTTCTCTCGTTCAACAATTCGTTGGGAAGAGTTAAAAAAAGCTGTGCCCATCACAGTAAAGCGGGAGTCTGAAATACGCTGGAGTGCACGATCAGAAGCTGTTAAAGCTCTCTATGAAGGAATGGATGAACTAGTAGGGCTGCTAGACAAATTGTCGGAGGACGTAACTATGACGCCTGAAACCAGAAGTGATGCATAACAGTTACAGGCATGCGTATTAAATTTTTACTTCATAGTTTTATTACATTTCTGGAATGTCATTCTTGGCAAAATGTATCGTGTTCAGAAGCGCTTACAGGGTCCTACTATGCATTTCAAGGAAGCAGCAACTGATCTTGAATCTTTGAAGCATGAATTTGTCCAGCTTCGTGATGATTTGAGCCAAGTTGCTGTAAAAAACGCCAAAACAAGATGCACAGCCTGGGGGATCGATGTGGACAGAAGAATTAGGTGACGTCGGAAGATGCCGGGAGAACTGGCACAGATGTTGATCCAATTCGTCGAAATTGCACAGATTTTGGAAATTTCTATGACACCTTCATCAATGGCCACGAACTTTTCACAGAATTTGGAGATTGCAAAATGCTGCTCGGTAACCGGAATTAAGTTCTACCAGAAACTCCTTTGGATTTTCTTGGTTTTATTGTGTTTTATGGAGACGACATATTTCCGAATTTGCGAATTTCACTGCAAATTTTATTAACACTAGCAGTTTCAATTGCAAGCTGTGAGCGGTCATTCAGCAAATTGAAACTTATTTTGTCGTATTTGCGTGCTTCAATGGGACAAGATCGTCTCAGCGATCTTGCTCTTCTTAGCGTTGAAAGAAAAACATTGGAAAAAACATATTTTGATTACGTGATTGACCAGTTTGCGACAGTGAAATCAAGAAAAAATAATCTTTTGTAGACTATGTCAACCAGTCTACGACAGTGACTGAGTGAGCCATGTAATATAATTTCTATAAATTTGCTTCTTTATATACAATGTTTCATTAAAATTGTTATTCCTTATTCGATGTAATAGGAAAATGTGATTAAACGGGGGGGGGGGGGGCGCCAATTTTATAGTTCGTCCCTGGGCGCAAAATATCCTAGCTACGCCTCTGCGCTCACCGAGGTTAAGAACCAGGCTACAGTCTACATTAGTCGTTTTTTTTTCTTCTATTCACTTTATTTGTATTATTATTTTCTATCTACGTGACTTTACCGAAATAACCAAAGAATATTAATTCCTGCAGTCACGAAAGTTTTAAGTCAAAATTTAACCACCTTTTTACCATGCAAGTGTATGAACATGTGAAGTTTGTATTTGCTGTCAAGTATATTGACTCGATTGAACATGGAGGTTAAATCATAAATATAGTTTATTTTAGTTTTGCTTTGGAAATTTTCATAAGAATGGAAATTAACACAGCACATATGCAGCTGAAGTTAAATCTGTTCATCCTCGCATTCAAGCTAATCTGAGCCTGGCTTCACACCTCTAAGTTGCAAATGAACATTAATTTATACATTTCTGCATAATACAAATAGTATGCTTTTCAAAAGCCTTTGCTAGGTTAACAAATTTTTTTTTAAATATTCCTGTCGTAGCTAGACAACCGAAATTGTGTGCTTGGAGTTTTTGGTAAACATTAATTTTGAAGACACTAGGGTGTCCAGGCATATTTATGACCATTTGCCCTCGCATTGTGTGCCTTAACAGCCTGTGTGATGAATTGGGGAATCTCTTTCACTATTTCATGAAAATATGAATATGTATAGATGTGTAAGTCATGTGTGACTGTATATATGCATTCCTCTGTGCGTCAATACTCACGGAGATGGTGTGGATATGTTTTTCTGTCTGCAGCTGATGCTCGCTTTGCAGAGTTGGTCTGATGGAGCAAAGGCACTCAGCGCAGCTCGGTACAAGAAGGAAACAATGCGACCAGCATGCAAACAGCACGGATTGTACTGGAAACTTGACACAGCACCAGAGAACACACACAGGAGAGAAACCCTTCAAGTGCACTGTGTGTGGGAAGGCGTTTGCACAGTCATCAACTCTTCAGACCCACCAGAGAACACACACAGGAGAGAAACCTTTTAAGTGCAGTGTGTGTAAAAAGGTGTTTGCACGGTCATCCATTCTTAAATCACACCAGAGAACACACACAGGAGAGAAACCTTTTAAGTGCACTGTGTGTGAGAAGGCATTTTCAGATTCATCTACTCTTAAACAACACCAGAGAACACACACAGGAAAGAAACCTTTCAAGTGCACTGTGTGTGAGAAGGCGTTTGCACGGTCACCAAATCTTCAAAGACACCAGAGAACACACACAGGAGAGAAACCTTTCAAGTGCACTGTGTGTGAGGAGGCGTTTGCACGGTCATCCATTCTTAAATCACACCAGAGAACACACACAGGAGAGACACCTTTTAAGTGCACTCTGTGTGGAAAGGCGTTGGCAAAGTCATCAAATCTTAAGATCCACCAGAGAACACACACAGGAGAGAAACCTTTTAAGTGCACTCTGTGTGGGAAGGCGTTTGCAATGTCATCAAATATTAAGACCCACCAGAAAACACACACAGGAGAGAAACATTTTAAGTGCACTCTGTGTGGGAAGGCGTTTGCAAAGTCATCATATCTTCAAACCCACCAGAGAACACACACAGGATATAAGCCCTTCAAGTGCAGTGTGTGTGGGAAGGCATTTTTTGATTCATCTTCTCTTAAACAACACCAGAGAACACACACAGGAAAGAAACCTTTCAAGTGCACTGTGTGTGAGAAGGCGTTTGCACAGTCATCACATCTTCAAAGACACCAGAGAACACACACAGGAGAGAAACCCTTCAAGTGCACTGTGTGTGAGAAGGCATTTTCATGGTCGTCATATCTTCAGACCCACCAGAGAATACACACAGGAGATAAACCCTTCAAGTGCAGTGTGTGTGAGAAGGCGTTTTCAGATTCATCTGCTCTTCGACGACACCAGAGAACACACACAGGAGATAAACCCTTCAAGTGCAGTGTGTGTGGGAAGACATTTTTAGATTCATCTACACTTAAACAACACCAGAGAACACACACAGGAAAGAAACCTTTCAAGTGCACTGTGTGTGAGAAGGTGTTTGCAAAGTCATCAAATCTTAAAAAACACCAGAGAACACACACGCATCAGAAAATCCACAAGAAGTGTAATCTGAAATCAGCTTGTGAAAGTCAAAGTGCTGCAATGACCCCATTGTTTATGAAACAAGAACTAGAAGACAATCCCAGCCTGGACACTTTGAAAGGTATCAAGGTGAAATATGAAAAGGCGAAAGTGAAATGTGAAGAAGTAACATTGAAGAGCGTAGAAGTGAAGGTTAAATTTGAAGATTCAACTCCAAAATCGGACCTTCACATAGATGGAGGCAGTGTGAAGCAGGAACTAAATTCTGACTGTGAGGCAGAGCGAGGCAACTCCCAGGAGTTTGTGGATGTGGAGGTGTGGGTGGACTTCTTAGACAATACAAAGTCAAATGGAGACCAGGTAGATGTGCAAGCTTCAGACAATTAAGCTCCAATGGATGCACCTTTGTCACAGGCCTTTCTAATGAATATAATGTGAAGTTGAACACTCAATTTCTAGGTTCAAACTGCAGTGTAAGAGTGGCCAGTATTTGTGAACCTGTGGGTTGGGGCGATCTCTAACCAGGAGTGACTCAAGTGTTTAGTATCATATCTCATCTTAGACACTCGATGGGTGCCCATAATGGGCATCTGCCCCTGTGTGCCACAAGGTGACCGTTCACTGGCCTGCATGTGGATATGAGTTTGTAAGTCGGGGGCGATGATTGATATGCCAGTCGGATTTGAACCTTGAACTTCTGCAACAAATAGAGAATGTACTACTACTTGGCTTCCCTCTATGAGAGTGCTGCACATATAGGCCTCATCTCGGCAGAGATCAACTTGTAAATACGTTGCAACGTGACGCAGTACATTTCAGTATAGTAATAAAATGTTGCCAATGTGCCCTTTGATTATTTTGAATCATAATTGAAAGAATACCTGTCTGATTTTGTACGTACATACAACATTTTGTGTATTAATGTAAAACATGGAATATGTGATGTCAGGACAAAGTATCTGTTTTGGTGGTAACCTGTACAAAAACTCACGTGAGAGCTGTTATTTTTGTGATACGGGTCAAAGGGTATTTTTGTGAATCAGGACGCATCTGACTGGGGCAACTCATTGTCTTTGAAATCGGGAGCATAGTCGGATCATTCATCAGTTAAGGTATGCCACTTACAAGTTACGTATAGGAGATACATTTTCCACAAGCACACTAATTATCATTTTGTATTACGTATACATTTTGTCGAACTGAGACTTGAAATGGACCTTGCCGATGAACATCAGTTGAAGCAAGCCGGACTGTTGTTGAGACATTGTACACCAAAACCAGTCCACAGGTGGCTTGTACTGAACACATGTGTAGTGCCATACGAGGGGAGGGGCTGCTGGGGGCTCTAGGATCCTAGGCAGATAAGCCCTCGGCGCCAGGCGCTAGGATCCCAGGCACCCCAAACAGTTAAGCCCCTTGGTGCCACCAACGGGGGGGCTGTGCGTGCTCTGTGGGATATCTGGGGGCACACACAACCCCACCCCTCGTTGGGGACGATGCATAAAAGGGCAGCTCCCTGGCCGATCGGGGCCAGTTGCAGCTCAAGACCAGCCAGCTTAGGACCCTGGACCCCCTCGTCCCGCTTGTCCTTGTGTAGTGGTGATACGCGCTGGGGTAGGGATCGTGTGCCAGCGCGTAGTGATTGGCTGTGTATGTGGTGACGCGCGCTGATGGTGGAGGATCAGGGGTCAGCGCGGGGTCGTGGGTTACGTGGTGCTGATTGGCTGTGTGCCGGTGACGCGCTGAGAGGGAGTGATCGGGTGGCAGCGCGGTGTGATTGGTTGAGTAGTATTAACACGCGCTGGGGAAAACGGATCGTAGAGATAGCGCGTCGTCATTGGTTAACTAAAGAGCGATGCTCACGTCGACGTCCGCATCAGCTCCGTCTCCCGTGAGCAGGGGCTATAAAAGGGGATGCACACAGGCGTAAAGACAGTATGTAACCAGCGAAGACTGAAGACGGGGATGAAGAGATAGGGCCCTGCGGTACCTAGTCCCGCTGTCCTAACGGGACCGGGACTCTGTGTAACCCAGAGGCGAATGCATTGGGTGTAGCCATAGGCATAGGGTCTACACGAGTCGAATGCATGGTGTGTAGCCAGAGGCATAGGGTCTACACGAGTTAAGTGAAGTGTGTGTAGCCAGAGGCATAGGGTCTACACGAGTTAAGTGAAGTGTGTGTAGCCAGAGGTATAGAGTCTACACGAGTTAAGAGAAGTGTGTGTAGCCAGAGGTATAGAGTCTACACGAGTTAAGTGGAGTGTATAGTGAGAAGAATAGAGACCACACGTTGTATTGTGACACATCAAGATTTAATAAAAGTGTGTTACCCGTCAAGAAGTTCCTGCCGTCATTTCCAATACTTCAACTGGCGTCAGAAGTGAAACGGTCTTCCAAGCATGGATACAAGGAAGACCCGTCGGACCCACGGGATTGACCGCGGGGACAACCTTGACGACTCGGGCCAGCTGGCATCGGGGGGTGAGGACGAAGAATTGCCCACGCTGCAGGATCCGCCGACGGCGCCGGACGAGCGACGGGGGTCCGATGCCGTGCTCCGCGAGGCGCACTCCCGTCTGGCGGAGCTGCTGCTCGCGGCCGCGTCCATCCTGGCGGAGATCAGCTCGTCGGGAGGAGCGGGGACGGCGGCGGACATTCTACAGGGTCGCCCCGCAGATTCCCGCCAAAATTATTTGGCGATTCCCGCCATTTCATCTGCGCCGACTTTTGGCGGGAACGGCCATCACCACGTGGCAGCGGTTCTCCAAGCGCGCCCGCTTACGTCACCAACGCGCGCTGCGGACCGCCATCAGACACCCGCCACTGGGGCCGCCATCTTACACACCGACGGGGGGGCGGTGAGGAACCACGAGGCGGAGGACGACTTCATCTTTCAACAACGCCTTCCCACATTGTCAGCCTTCAAGGCGGAAGGCGGGGACTGGGGCCAATTTCAGCGCAGGTTTTTGGCGCATCAGGAGATGTCCGCCTGGTCCGACGCTACGGCACTGCGGGCACTGCCTGCCATGCTGGACGACAACGCGCTCGCGGCCTTCACGTCCGCACGCAGGTCGGACCGCTCCACGCTCAAGGATGCGCTGGCTCTCATGGCAAAGGTCTACGGTCCTCCCTCGGCGTGTCGCCATCATTTTTATGCAAGGCGGAAGGCGGACGCGGAGACCGTGCTTGCATATCGCACGGCGTTGCTGGCTCTCGGCGACGCCGCGTTCCCTCGTATGGACGAGGAGGGCAAAGATGCGATGGTTTTGGAGCAACTGCTCAAGTTGGCGCAGGACCTGGGGGTCCCCATCAACACGGCCGACGAGATCGATATTTCTTCCTTGCGGGTCGCTACAAGTATACAAGCGCACGAGGTCCTTCAACGTAAACAGGGGGTCGTCTGCAACGCTGCCGTGGCCTCAGCTCCGGGCCCGGTAGTCACCGAACCCCAAGTCGTCAGCCCACGAGAGGAGGCGTTCACCGCGGGACGACCGGGGGACTGGAGGTCGGGGGGTCATTCGCCTCTGCGATCGGCCCGCAAGCTGGAGCAACCGAGATCTCCGACGACCCTCATCACGTGTTATAACTGCGGCCTCCGGGGCCACGTGGCGTCCGGTTGCCGCGCCCCACGTCAGCGCGCCATGGGACCTCGGCTGGACGACGAACAAGGCCCCAAGTCATCCCTACAAACCCCGGCAAGTCGCGGCACCTCACATGCTCGGCCCGCATACTCGACACGCATGGGCCGTCGCGTTGCGGCGGAGGAGAGCCGGTTAGGGTTCGGGGATTCAGTTCGGCGAGGGGGGTTCGGCCGGGACCGGGGAGACATTAAATGGTCGGAGTTGGGGCACAGAATAGTGGCTGCCTCAGCGGGTTCATCCGTCGTTACGGGATCTATTGATGGGGTCGAGGTCAGGGTGTTAGTGGACACGGGGGCATCGGCGACTATTATATCGGACCTCATTTACAACATTCTCCCTGTACAATGTCGCCCGCTGCTTCCAGTGGATGTGCCATTTTACGCCGCAAATGGGGGATCGTTGGGCATTATCGGTCAGATTAGGGCGTCCATTTGCATTGGAGATATCAAATTGTCGGGACCCGTTTTCGTTTCGTCCTCCTTGGCGGTTCCTTGTCTATTGGGCACTGATTTTTTGGCAAAAATGCCCATCAAAATTCTCATTGATCAGCGTTGCATTGAACTACCATCGGGTCGCCGTATTTCATTTTTGACGAGCCCTACTGAAATTCGGACGGCGTGCGCTACGATACAAGCGTTAGCAACACAGACCGTGCACGTGCCCCCGGGTTCACAAATGTTAATTCCCCTCCGGTTGCGGAAACCATGGGTGAGGGAGACCTCGGATCAAGGCATGCTTTTGGGTCCTTCTAATAGGGCTGTTGGAGGTCTCGATTTGTCGGTGGCTCACACTTTGGTTGGGGCTGACAGGGATCCGTTTGTGATGGTTTTGAACGCTGGGTCGCGGCCGGCCGTCATTCAGCAGGGCACCATGCTAGCTCACGCGGCACGGGTCCCTGCCGAAGAGCGGCTGGTTGCGCGGGCTGATCCGAGCCCCACGCAAAACGTTAATCCAAAGGAGGACCTCGAATGAGTCGATTCGCTGTGCGCGGACTCTGACGATTTGTCAGCGGGACAGTTGGGTGCGCTGCGCGGGTTGCTGATAGAATTTTCGGATGTGTTCAGTAAACATAAGTATGACATGGGGTGCACGGACCTGTTACGCCACCACATTGAAACGGGCGATGCGGCACCGATCAGGCTAAATCCCTTCCGACTGAGTCCTGCTAAGAAGGAACATGTTCAGTCGGCCGTTAACGATATGCTAGAAGCCGACATTATTTCGCCTTCTTCCAGTCCTTGGGGAGCACCTATTGTGCTCGTTAAAAAGCAGGATGGTTCCTTGCGATTTTGCGTAGATTTCCGCCGCCTGAATAAGATCTCTGTGGCCGACGCGTATCCGCTCCCCAGGATGGACGAGTCCCTCGATGCATTGTCCGGTGCGCGATACTTTTCGACTCTTGATTTATTATCCGGATTCTGGCAGTTGCCACTCGACGAAGAGTCTAAACCTAAGACAGCATTTCGGACTCCAGGGGGCCTGTTTCAGTTTAACCGGTTACCCATGGGACTTCACTCCTCTCCTGCGACGTTTCAGCGCCTTATGGAGTTAGTTTTGTCGGGCTTGCAATGGGATACGTGCTTGATTTACCTTGACGATGTCATTGTTTTCAGTAAAACGTTTGAGGAACACCTCCAGCGATTGAGAGGGGTGTTCTTGCGAATGCGATCGGCTAAGTTAAAGTTTAAACCGGCCAAATGCCACCTTCTTCGTAAATCCGTTAGATATTTGGGTCACATTGTCGACTCTTCGGGGATTTCTACCGATCCCGCGAAGACGGACTGTGTCAGTTCATGGCCGACGCCCACGTCAGTTTCGGACGTGCGCAGTTTCATCGGTTTTGCTTCTTATTATCGCCGATTCGTTGAGCACTTCGCCACCATTGCAAAACCCTTGCACGCTCTGACGGCGAAAGGAGTGAAGTTCCGATGGGGACCGGAGGAGGAGGCTGCATTCTGCTCCCTCCGGGACGCCTTGGTGGGTGCCCCACCCTTGCGCTATCTTGACTTTGCGAGTCCCTTCTTGCTAGACACGGATGCTAGCAACATGGGCATTGGGGGGGTGCTGTCCCAAGTCGTTGGGGGGGTCGAACGGGTAGTCGCCTATGGTAGCAGGGTGTTGTCGCCGGCAGAGCAGCGCTACTGCGTCACCCGTCGCGAGCTGCTTGCCATTGTTTTTTTCGTACAACAATTCAGACCATATCTCTATGGTCGTCACTTTACGGTCCGGACTGACCACGCGGCGCTCCAGTATTCATTGCGGGTCGCCCAGCCCTCGGGCCAATTGTCACGGTGGTTGGAAGTCCTCCAGGACTATCAGTTCACGACTACATACCGTAAGGGGTTGCGACACACAAATGCCGATGCTCTGTCGCGATTGTTGCCTTGTCACAAATGTGCGTGCTTATCGGGATCGGCGCGCTGTAAACCGCCAGTTACGGAAGGCGAGGGGGCATTGGTTGCGACCGCGGGCACACCAATTGGGGAGGGTCCCGCTACCCCAGGGGGTCAGGACTCGCTGCTCTCACTGTCGCTGATTGAGTGGGGCCGTCTCCAAATGGCGGACAGCTCCCTGCTAGCGTTGCGCCGCAGGACGGAGGGTTCCGAAGGGGACCAGGAACGGACTGGCTCCTACGTGCTTAAGCAAGGCCTGTTAATGAGATGGGACAGTTTGTCCCGGCGGCACGCGATTGTGGTGCCTTCTGCTGTGAGGGGGAAAGTTGTCTTGGCCGCACACGAACGCCTCTTGCATTTGGGAGTAAACAAAACGCTTGCCCTGCTTCAGCGTGACTATTATTGGCCGGGGATGGGGAGTGACGTGGTGAATATTCTGAAGGGATGTGTTGAGTGCGCCAGACGGAAACCACCGCCCGTGGCAGCAAATCCACCGCTGCAATCTATTCAGGTCTCGCGCACTAACGAGCTCGTTGCGCTCGATATTCTGGGGCCTTTTCCAGTCACGCCTAGGGGTAATAAGTACCTGTTGGTGGGGGTCGAATATTTTACCCGGTGGCCTATGGCGTGGCCACTCGCCAACCAGTCGGTGGCGGCTGTGACGGACGCCCTTGTCCAGGGCTACGTCCTGGACAAGGGGGCTCCCGAACGCTTGCTGACCGGCCAAGGGAAAAATTTTTCTAGTAAATTGCTGCAAGAGGTGTGCGACCTGTTGGGTACTAAGAAGGTGCGTACCTCCCCGTACCACCCGCAGACGGACGGGATGGTGGAGAGACTCCACAGGACATTGACTTCTATGCTGTGCCAGCAGGTGTGTGAGGCACATGTTGATTGGGACCTGCAGGTCCCTGGGGTCCTCGCCGCGTATAGAATGGCCCCCCATGCAGCTACGGGATTTTCCCCGTTCTATCTGATGTACGGTCGGGAAGCCGACCCGCCCATGGAAACGCAGCTGGGCCTGCCCGCACCACGAACTAATTCGAAATTGGCAGAGCATCTTAAATTTAATATTCATAAGCTGACGGAGGCAAAGGAGGCCGCACGGCTTAATTCGCGGGCTCGCCAAATTGCGAATGAGCGGTTGCGTGCACGGAAGGTGTTTGTGCACAACTGGGAACCAGGTGACAGGGCCTGGCTGCATTGCCCTCAGGCACCTTTGGCTACGTCGCCTAAATTGTTGAAGCCGTGGCGGGGACCCGTGGAGGTCGTGCGGGTTGCACGCCCCCAGTGCGTTCAGATAAAATGGGGAAAGCGCCGTTGGTACGTCCACTCCCGACTGAAACCGTTCTCGCCTCCATATGGCCTCCCCTTGTGTCGTGAGGGCCGAGCATGTGACGTGACCGACGACCCTAAGGGGGAAATGTCTTTGCCTGATCCTCACATGTCTCCGCCTGATCCGCTCCCAGGTGTCTCGGAACTGACATCTGCCGACCACCGGCGGCCAGATCTGCGCGGCGGGGCCGGTCCTTCCAGGCCCGATCCGCGCCGTCTAGAGCTGCCGGAGCCACCGGACGGTCGTCAGCGTCCCGTCCCATACGACGGACCGGCCAGACGGACTCGCGCTAGGTCGCGCTACTTTTCATGACCTACCACGTGAGGAGTCGAGGCAGCCGGAGCGCCTCGTCACTGCGTTTAGTCACAGGGACATTTGGCGCGTTCGTTTTTTGGAGTTCGCTTTTATTGTGTTGTTCGTCGGGCTGTACATTGCTTCTTATTTAAGTGTTGCTGTTGTGTTGTTGTTGTTGCGTTACGGGGCACACTGGGGGGTGGGGTTTTTATTATTGCGTTGACGTTGGGTTGTGTTGTTGGTTAGCAGCCGGGCCGGCTGCGAGCTATGTGGGAGGGGGTGATGTAGTGGTGATACGCGCTGGGGTAGGGATCGTGTGCCAGCGCGTAGTGATTGGCTGTGTATGTGGTGACGCGCGCTGACGGTGGAGGATCAGGGGTCAGCGCGGGGTCGTGGGTTACGTGGTGCTGATTGGCTGTGTGCCGGTGACGCGCTGAGAGGGAGTGATCGGGTGGCAGCGCGGTGTGATTGGTTGAGTAGTATTAACACGCGCTGGGGAAAACGGATCGTAGAGATAGCGCGTCGTCATTGGTTAACTAAGGAGTGATGCTCACGTCGACGTCCGCATCAGCTCCGTCTCCCGTGAGCAGGGGCTATAAAAGGGGATGCACACAGGCGTAAAGACAGTATGTAACAAGCGAAGACTGAAGACGGGGATGAAGAGATAGGGCCCTGCGGTACCTAGTCCCGCTGTCCTAACGGGACCGGGACTCTGTGTAACCCAGAGGCGAATGCATTGGGTGTAGCCATAGGCATAGGGTCTACACGAGTCGAATGCATGGTGTGTAGCCAGAGGCATAGGGTCTACACGAGTTAAGTGAAGTGTGTGTAGCCAGAGGCATAGGGTCTACACGAGTTAAGTGGAGTGTATAGTGAGAAGAATAGAGACCACACGTTGTATTGTGACACGTCAAGATTTAATAAAAGTGTGTTACCCGTCAAGAAGTTCCTGCCGTCATTTCCAATACTTCACTTGTAAGGGCCGGGACACTGTGAGGGCCAGTGGTGGGACTCTGGGACTCCCGGCTCTACGTCCTTGTAAGGGCGAGTTCCGAGGAAGCCAGAGTCCAGACCCGCACCTTGGCTGGGTCGGGTCAATTAGCCTCCCCTACGGTAATTACAGCCGGAGGACCCCAGAGCGTAGCCAGAGTAGTGTATCTAGGCTGTGTACCTAGGCTGTAACAGAGTATCAGGACTGTTGGAGTGTTTTATTGTAATAAAGAAGATACCTCTACAAGTGTCTCCGGAACCCATTACACATGCTTTCCTAAAAGGCCGTGGTATTTATAGTTTGTGTAAAATATTCCTTTGTTTCGTGTAGAGAACGTTCAATGAAAGATGTCTGCCGATCTGTTTTTTCGCAAGGAGGTACTTTAAAGAGCACATTTGAAGGCATCGTGGATTTTTGTTACAGATTTGTATTCTAGCCTAGGTTTTATTGAAGCTTAACTTCTATTTAAATAAAACTTTAGATATATCTGTCTGCATTGATATCCCACCTTGTTTACCACATGTTTACTTAAATATGTAGACGCTCCCTCTGAAGACGTCACCTCAAATTAACGAGTGGGTTACGTCAGGGCCTCCCCCTTTCTCTGGCTTGTGATGTCACCAAGAGCAGAACTCGCCTCCACGGAATCTAACGACTGCACTGTCTTGGAATGCATTTACACAGTAATCAAATCTTCACAACTGCCAGGGAACACACATTAAAAACCACTTAATGTACACTTGGAAGGCATTTTGAATTGTCTTGAAACTGAAACACGCGTAAGGAGGTCTACAAGGAGCAGGGTCTGAGATTGACGTGTGAAATTTGAAGTTCCATAAGCCCATCGTTTGTGATTCAAGGACCCAATAAAGATGGCAGCTGGGAAACGTCACCATAAGTGAAGGTGACCTGTGAAGGCTCCAGGGTTTGACTTCCAGGCCGCTAATAGAGCCCGAGACGAATCACAGCCATTTGTGGATGTGGAGGTTTTGGAGGACTTTTCGGACAATGTAGAGAGTAGAAGCAGACAGAATGTGTGACCATAAGTGTTGGGTAGACCTGTAACCAAAAGCATGAGACACGGTTTCCCAATGTTTATTTCAATTGTTTAGTTTTTAGTTGATTTGGAATACAGTACTTATTTCAATTGTGATTTAAATTTTAGTTGACGATTACCTAACGCCATTACTTGGGTAAGGCTTAAGTATTGAATATCGCGTTTTTAGCTGTCGCGTGGCACTTTCCAAGAACGTAACCTCCGATATTCAAGGGGCGGCTGTATTTTCTGTCGATCGAGTACAGCAAGGGAGTACGGATTTTTACTAGAAACTAGATCTCTGCTTTCTTGATGTAATTAAGGCCTATGGTACCATAAAGAGGCTTGGTGCTTTGGGTTCCTTGATTTCGATGTCTCTGCCTCTGCTCACATTCGTTGAGGATTTTTATGATTTTGGGCAGGCCCATCTAAAGGTGCGTGACCAGGAGTTGGAACCATTTCCTGTTCAACTCGGCTTGTGGCAGAAATTCACTCTGGCCCAATGCATTACATTTGTAATGTGAGGTTACACCTGGATAATAACGATGGGCTCTGCCGGCCTCAGCCTGCAACCAATGGGGAGTCGAGTTAGGGGCGTGGCCCTGGAGCCGTACATTAGCTTCGGGAAAGTTCCAGGGGTGTGGCTGAGGATTGGCTGCGGGGCATCACGTGGGCCAGGGATTTAAAGGAGCGGAGAAGCCACGCTGGTGCCGTGGTCCGGAGCCTGCCACGTGGCGGGCCGCCGCAGTCTCTCTCTCACGCTGTCAGCCAACAGCGTGAAGGAGCAAGGGAACTGGAGGAACGAATGTGGTGGAAGCTGTGAACGAAACTGAATAAAGAATTCTCAATTGACGACGTCTCAACGGGGTTTATTACACATTACATAGCATGTTCAATAATTATGTAGTTTGAGGAGCTCACAATGGCCGTATAAATAAACTAGCTGAGAGTATGGTCAGTGGATGTTGCTGTGGGTTGACGACCACGGTGGGGGTTAGGGCGAGTTAAACGTTACCGCTGGGGAGCGTGGCTCTCTCCACGCGAGGGTGTGCGATTAGGCGTTTTGTTGGGTTGCTGAGAGTGACCGTGGGTACATGCTGTGTACGTGCGATGTCTGTGCTGGTCCTCAAGGGAGGACTGCTGGTGGGTAAGAGCAGGAAATTTTGTTGTTGTTGTTGTCACGTGTAAATAATATTGTTGTTAAAATGTAAATACTGGGGCATCCATTGCGTTATTTTGGGTATTTATGGGGAGTTTTTTTAAGCGGGCTGGATTTACATCATCTCCACTACCCTGAGGCCGGGTGGCTGTCGTGTACGACATGCGGATGTGCGTTGTTGTGCTGTGCCTCAGGGGATTGGATTCTCCTTCTCGTCACAGATTCTTCAGCTCCCGTCGCACTGGGTGTTACCTGGTGTGCTAGCTGGATGAGGACTTGAAGGAGCAATTGAGCGCCGTTCGTCATTCTGCTCTACCACTTGCTCTTTGACGTTGGACTTGAGCCGAGCGGATGGAACTGCAACATGGACACGCACTAAAACATCACATTTCTGGGTTGTGCGCGTTGGCCGTTCTTGCGTGTCAGTTGCCGTTTTTGTTCATTGTGCCATTCTTATTCTTGTTGATGTTGCGCGGAGGACAGGCCGGTGTTCTGTTCCAGTTCCTGATACCTCCCCTTTCGTTGCTTGTGTTGTTGTTGTTATAATCTCCGTTGTGTCTGGGGGACTCCTGATTGTGATGCCTTCGCCCGCATTATTTTGTTCTGTTTCAGCCGAGGACGGCTGGGATTTTCTCTACGGGGGAGGGTAGTGTAATGCGGGCGTAAATGGGCGGGGCGGATATGACGATCCGAGAGGGAGGAGTCAGGGTGACGTGGGGGAGAAGTTATAGCGGGGAGACAGGAAGCTATCTGGGTCAGTCGGGGGAGTGAAGGGTGGTGAAGACGTTGGGTGGTCGCCGTGCCTCAGCCTGGTGGCTGAGGGGCTCATGACGGCGCCAGCCAGCGGGGTGGAAGAGAGAGTGGAGGATTGAGGTTGGAGATGGCGAGATAGCCACAGAGGCCACGAAGGGCTGAGGTAGGAAGTGGCGAGATAGCCACAGAGGCCACGAAGGGCTGAGGTAGGAAGTGGCGAGATAGCCACAGAGGCCACGAAGGGCTGAGGTAGGAAATGGCGAGATAGCCATAGAGGCCACGAAGGGCTGACGTTGGGAGGTGGCGAGATCGCCACGCACGGAGGAACAGGGAGCAGCGATGGAGCTGCTGTGGGGGCAGCCGGAGGGCTGCACCAAGAGCCTGCAGCGGAACTGCAGGAGCGTGGAAGGCTACGGGAGCGAAGGCAGATGTGGGGCTGCCAGGGAGAGAGTCTCAGGAGGAGTGCCGTGTGGGAAGGACAACGCGAACCCCAAATAAAGGACACGGAGTCAGCGAGAAGCGTCTTGAGTCCTTTTATTACACCTTAACTGATGAATGATCCGACTATGCTCCCGATTTCAAAGACAATGAGTTGCCCCAGTCAGATGCGTCCTGATTCACAAAAATACCCTTTGACTCGTATCACAAAAATAACAGCTCTCACGTGAGTTTTTGTACAGGTTACCACCAAAACAGATACTTTGTCCTGACAGCACATATTCCATGTTTGACATTAATACACAAAATGTTGTATGTACGTACAAAATCAGACAGGTATTCTTTCAATTATGATTCAAAATAATCAAAGGGCACATTGGCAACATTTTATTACTATACTGAAATGTACTGCGTCACGTTGCAACGTATTTACAAGTTGATCTCTGCCGAGATGAGGCCTATATGTGCAGCACTCTCAGAGGGAAGCCAAGTAGTAGTACATTCTCTATTTATTGCAGAGGTTCAAGGTTCAAATCCGACTGGCATATTATCATCTCCCCCGACTTACAAACTCATATCCACGTGGCACACAGGGGCAGATGCCCATAATGGGCACCCATCGAGTGTCTAAGATGAGATATGATACAAAACACTTGAGTCACTCCTGGTTAGAGATTGCCCCAACCCACAGGTTCACAAATACTGGCCACGCTTACACTGCAGTTTGAACCTAGAAATTGAGTGTTCAACTTCACATTATATTCATTAGAAAGGCCTGTGACAAAGGTGCATCCATTGGAGCTTAATTGTCTGAAGCTTGCACATCTACCTGGTCTCCATTTGACTTTGTATTGTCTAAGAAGTCCACCCACACCTCCACATCCACAAACTCATGGGAGTTGCCTCGCTCTGCCTCACAGTCAGAATTTAGTTCCTGTTTCACACTGCCTCCATCTATGTGAAGGTCCGATTTTGGAGTTGAATAATCTTCAAATTTAACCTTCACTTCTACGCTCTTCACTGTTACTTCTTCACATTTCACTTTCGCCTCTTCATATTTCACCTTGATACCTTTCAAAGTGTCCAGGCTGGGATTGTCTTCTGGTTCTTGTTTCATGCACAATGGGGTCATTGCAGCACTTTGACTTTCACAAGCTGATTTCAGATTACACTTCTTGTGGATTTTCTGATGCTTGTGTGTTCTCTGGTGTTTTTTAAGATTTGATGAATGTGCAAACGCTTTCCCACAAACACTGCACTTGAAGAGTTTCTCTTCTGTGTGTGTTCTCTGGTGTTGTTTAAGAGTAGATGAATCTAAAAATGTCTTCCCACACACACTGCACTTGAAGGGTTTATCTCCTGTGTGTATTCTCTGGTGGGTCTGAAGAGTTGATGACTGTGCAAATGCCTTCCCACACAGAGTGCACTTAAAAGGTTTCTCTCCTGTGTGTGTTTTCTGGTGGGTCTTAAGATTTGATGACATTGCAAACACCTTCCCACACAAAGTGCACTTAAAAGGTTTCTCTCCTGTGTGTGTTCTCTGGTGTTGTTTAAGAGTAGATGAATAAAAAAATGCCTTCCCACACACACTGCACTTGAAGGGGTTATCTCCTGTGTGTGTTCTCTGGTGGGTCTGAAGATATGACGACCTTGAAAATGCCTTCTCACACACAGTGCACTTGAAAGGTTTCTTTCCTGTGTGTGATCTCTGGTGTTGTTTAAGAGTAGATGAATAAAAAAATGCCTTCCCACACACACTGCACTTGAAGGGCTTATCTCCTGTGTGTGTTCTCTGGTGGGTCTTAAGATTTGATGACTGTGCAAACGCCTTCTCACACACAGTGCACTTAAAAGGTTTCTCTCCTGTGTGTGTTCTCTGGTGGATCTTAAGATTTGATGACAATGCAAACGCCTTCCCACACAGAGTGCACTTAAAAGATTTCTCTCTTGTGTGTGTTCTCTGGTGTGATTTAAGAATGGATGACCGTGCAAACACCTTTTTACACACACTGCACTTAAAAGGTTTCTCTCCTGTGTGTGTTCTCTGGTGGGTCTGAAGAGTTGATGACTGTGCAAACGCCTTCCCACACACAGTGCACTTGAAGGGTTTCTCTCCTGTGTGTGTTCTCTGGTGCTGTGTCAAGTTTCCAGTACGATCCGTGCTGTTTGCATTCTGGTCGCATTGTTTCCTTCTTGTACCGAGCTGCGCTGAGTGCCTTTGCTCCATCAGACCAACTCTGCAGAGCGAGCATCAGCTGCAGACAGAAAAACATATCCACACCATCTCCGTGAGTATTGAGGCACAGAGGAATGCATATATACAGTCACACATGACTTACACATCTATACATATTCATATTTTCATGAAATAGTGAAAGAGATTCCCTAATTCATCACACGGGCTGCTAAGGCACACAATGAGAGGGCAAATGGTCATAAATATGACTCGACACCCAAGTGTCTTCAAAATGAATATTTACCAAAAACTCCAAGCACACAATTTCGGTTGTCTAGCTATGACAGGAATATTTATTTAAGAAAAATTAGCTAACATAGCAAAGGCTGTTGATACTATTTGTATTATGCAGAAATGTATAAATTAATGTTCATTTGCAACTTAAAGGTCTGAAGCCAGGCTCAGATGAGCTTGAATGCGAGGATGAACAGATCTAACTTAAGCTGCATATGTGCATTGTTAATTTCCTGACTGTTTCCATTCTTATAAAATCTTGTTCTGTACCTGTTGAATTCCATGACGAAATGGGGCCTTGCATATGTTCTACAAAAAGATCACCTCCCTGGGAAAATCTTGACTTAAAACTTTTGTGATAGCGGGAATTCATATTCTTTGGTTATTTCGGTAAAGTCACGTAGATATAAAATAATAATACAAATAAAGTGAATAGAAGAAAAAAAACGACTAATGTAGACTGTAGCCTGGTTCTTAACCTCGGTGAGCATACTGGCAGTCTATAATGTAGAAAATGTAGCCTGGTTCTTAACCTCAGTGAGTGTATTGGCAGTCTATAATGTAGACTATTGCCTGTTTTATTGACAAGACCTTTGCAATGGACTAGACCTTGGCGATGGACACTCACAGCTTTGTATGCAAAAAAGTCCAGGCAGCTTCCACATAGTGTTACAGAGCCTAATGAAAAAATGCTGCTAGACTAATTTGAAGTGACACTTTGGATGCCAAATAAGGTCATGAACACATTAACCAGGTATAGGAGCTCCTCCACCACGTGTAGAACGACCTGATTATTCATGGAGAGCTGAGCAGGTGCAGTGTTGTATGACATTAAATTCCCAGGGAGGTATTCTTTGGGTCTTTCGGTAAAGTCACGTCACTTAACCGAGAGACCCAAAGAATATGAATTCCTGCAGTTACGAAAACTTTAAGTCAAGATTTTCCCAGGGAGGTGATCTTTTTGTAGAACATATGCAGGGCCCCATTTCGTCATGGAATTCTCCAGGTATAGAACACGATTCTCCAACTCAATATCATTGAGTAGCCATGACCAGATCATCAACATGCGTAACATGGTTGACCAGCAGGGGACGATCCCTTGACTATAACCAGGCATCGATTAGCGTATCATTGTTACTGTATGAAATGCAATTTTGTATAGGGCCATTGTGAGCTTCTCAAAATACATAATTATACTTAAGCATTACCTAAATAATGGGGTTAGGTAAACGGCAACTAAAATAAACATCACAATTGAAATAAGTACTGTACTGTATTCCAAATAAGGAATCATGTGTGCATTACCCACAATACTTGTGGTCAGAAAGCAAACAAAAACACTCTGCTAGAAAATGCATGGTCTGCTGCTGAGGCAGACCGTTGTAAAAGGTTTGAAATGGGTGTAGCCCAAGGATCATAAGGAAGTGGCCGGGGCTAGTGATGTTAATGTAATAAATTAGCATGTTAATGTGAAATCGAAGAGTAGTGCAATCCAAAGCGGCCTCCCTACAAGACAGAGAAGGAGCGAGGCTCTACCTGGGTAAACAACAACTACCACCACGACAACAATAACCACGATGTGAACTTCTCACTTCAGATCTCAGTGAGCGGACACTAAAATAAATCACGCTTGCTAACACAGAGCGTACGCCTGGGATACACTGCCGAGATCATCGATGACCTCGCCGCCGAGAAAGTTCAGCAGTATCTGACAAGCACAACCTGGTGGCAGCCAGATGCGAACTGCCCATATCCCCCATGTAACACCCTTGCCGAGCACGCGCACGTGTGTGAGAGATTTGCTCGCGAGCGTGCGCAATTCTGACGGCTGGAACAGGAGCACACCATTGCAAGTCTTCTTCCAGAGGAGAAGCTCGCGAGAACGGTGAGGGGGGGGGGGACGAGGGAGCCTCCAGGACCCCGTGAGACAATCCCAGGATGGGTGGCAGGGATACAGACCGGCATAGGAGATCACAGGCCATGTAACCCAAGTACGTGAGGAGGTAACCGAAGTATGTGGGGAGGTGACCCAAGTACACCTGAATGTTACCAAGCTGCAGTCTACAGCGGAGATAGTCCAGTCCGAGGTGGGAGGGCTACGCTCCATGGTCGGGGGGCTAACCAGGCGAGTATCTCAATAAGAGGCAGAACTCGAACAAATGCGCACTGGGAGGGTAAGGGGGAGTGGAGCCACCGCCCTTCCCCGTACGTGCTATCTATGCGACCAATGGGGGCATCTCGTGAGAGACAGTCCCAAGATCGCCCGCGCGAGAGAAGCACCAGGGTTAAACACCAAGGCCTCCCTAAAGAGGGGACCACAGAGGGGTGCAATCCACGTGGTCCCAACACAAATAAACTGTCATGATAATGGTAACGAATGACCCCCACGCAGATATTGACAACAACACCCCAGAATGCGGCGACTGCGGGTGACTGGCTGCGGGAGCTGGTGGCAGGAATAATGGGGGCCACGTGGCTCGTGGAAGGGCAGGTGAACAGGCGGCAAACCCGGATTCTGCTGGACGCGTGGGGCGGTAATGTCACTCGTGAGTGCAACACATTGCAGCGTGGTCGGGGTTGAAGTGGGCCGCCGACAGGCCCCGGATCGTGCGCTGCACACTGCAAGTGGAAGTGGGATGGGACTGCTGGGGAGGGTCACCGTTAAGGGTCGCCTCGGACACCAGGTGAGTAACCAGGAGTTATACGTGTCGAGCGTGTTATGTCACGAGTGTATTGCTGGTACCGACCGCCTGGAAAAGTTGGGGCTCAACGTGCAGCCCCGCCGGCGATGCGCCACCGTGGAGGGCAGCGGGGAGCGGATTCCTTTCTTGGGACAAGAGCCGGGTTGCCCTCGCTTCGAGCCCGTGGCCGCTATCCTGGCGTCAGCCGTCACTGTCGGCATTGGTGTTCCACTGGGTTTTCCGTTTTTCTCCCAAACCTAAACTCAAAATATAGTTGGTGGTGGTCAAACAGTCCAATGCAGGACCCTCCTGAAACATAATCTTTAACTGCTAAGTAAGAAATTAAATTGGAAAACCCTCAAACACAGTACACTATTTTTATTTTACCAGGTGAGGCCATCTGAGCTGCATAGCTCTTTTTCAGAATCGACCTGGACACAAATGATAGCTCAACTTAGTGGGTTAAAATATGGAAATGTATTGCAGCAAAATTCTCAAAATGAATGTTTCTAAAATGTGGAGAAAAATCAATGCCACAACAGGGAGAGAGAGCAAAAATAAAACATGTAAACTGCAATTATAAATGCGTCAGGGTTGGAATCGAACCCACGACATTCTGCATACCATGTGAGGTAGTTGACATCTTGCCACCCTAGTACAATATATCACACACAAACACATTACAGAGAATTCTAGATTTGAAGCTTTCGTGACTGCAAGGATTCATATTCTTAGGTTTTTTCGGTAAAGTCACGTAGGTAAAACATCAAAATTAATGAAAATAAAACAAAAATCACGACGTTTCGGAGGTAACACAAGTCTCCGTCATCAGGTGGGACCGTCACAGCCGAATTAGCTGCATCAAGTGAGGCAATGATTCAAGATGTAATCCCTTATAAGCAAGTTGAAGGGGTGGGGGAGAGGGGGGGAGCTCATCAGAATGTGGTAGCCAATGAATGGAAACGTATCGAGAGGGAGGGGGGCGGGGCTCAAAGACAGCACGGAGTGCTCAACACATTGGGCAGAGAGGGGGAGGGGAGGCCTGATACACATGATAGACAAAAGAACGAAAATGCCCATGTTTATACCAATGCTGGCTGAACAATGAAGAGAGTACTGTTAAAAAATAACTGGGAATGTTAACACTCGGTAAAGTAAAGTAAAATAGTGCCTGTCAGATAAGATGGTCCAAAAAGGTGTAATTAAGTCTTTTTTGCGTGGTTGATAACATCTTTCCAATGATTACTAAGTTTGTACCCATCATCACGGTTGAAATTATGTCTGTCTGTATATTTGTACTAGCTGTACTACCCGGCTTCGCCCGGGACTTGTATCTACCACGGCCGGCCGCCTTTGTCTCCCCAGTGGCGATGTTAATACGCTACAGCAGTTACTCGTTTGAGGCAGAGTCGACCTAGGGGAGGTTCAAATAATCGTCACCGGTGGTGGCCGTGAGCGGGAATCGAACTGGGTTCGCCGGGTTGGTAGCGCAGCGTAGCGTTAAGCACTACACCCACCGCTCCTCACACACCACACACGCACAGACACACACACAGACACACACACAGACACACGCAGACACACACAGACAGAGACACACACACACACAGACAGCACGCTAACCACTACACTACCGCTCCCCACACAGCACACACGCACACACACAGACACACACACAGACACACACACACAGACACACACACACAGACACAGGCAGCACGCTAAGCACTACACTACCGTTCCCCCTACACAACACACGCGCGCGCGTCCATAGGTACACATACACGCGCTTGCTGCAGACACACACGACTTTCAAGGTGCGTACGGCAGTAAACGACTGAAATAATAAAGCGGCAATGCTGTGTAAGGAACGCCTTAGACCCGCATTACACATTTGTGTAATGCGAGCGTAAACACACAAACACACACAAACACATACACAATACACACACACATACATGCAGACACACAGACAGACACATAACACACATACATACACACACATACAAACACAGAAACACATACACACATACATAGACACACACATACATACACACAAACACATCCACAGACGTACATACACACATACATACAGGCACGCAGACATACACATAAACACATACAAAAAAACCCACATACATACACACACACATACATACACACAAACACATGCACACACATACATACACACATGCATACAGACACACAGACATACACATAAACACATACACACATACCCATGACCCGGCTTCGCCCGGGACTTGCATCCACCACGCCCGGCCACCTTTGTCTCCCCAGTGCCGATGTTAATACGCAACACCAGTTACTCGTTTGAGGCTGAGTCGACCTAGGGGAGGTTCAAATAATCGTCACCGGTGGTGGCCGTGAGCGGGAATCGAACTCGGTTCGCCGGGTTGGTAGCGCAGCGTAGCGTTAAGCACTACACCCACCGCTCCTCACACACCACACACGCACAGACACACACACAGACACACACACAGACACACGCAGACACACGCAGACAGACACAGACAGACACACACACAGACACACAGACAGCACGCTAAGCACTACACTATCGCTCCCCACACACCACACACGCACACACACAGACACACACACAGACACACACACACAGACAGCACGCTAAGCACTACACTACCGTTCCCCCTACACAACACACGCGCGCGCGTCCATAGGAACACATACACGCGCTTGCTGCAGACACACACGACTTTCAGGGTGCGCACGGCAGTAAACGACTGCAATAATAAAGCGGCAATGCTGCGCGAGGAACGCCTTAGACCTGCAACACATTTGTGTAATGCGAGCGTAAACACACAAACACATACAAACACATACATACACACACATACACACAAACACATACACACACATACACACACATACATACACACAGACATACACATACACACAAACACACACATACATACACACAAACACATACACAATACACACAGACATACATGCAGACACACAGAGACACACATAACACACATACATACACACACATACATACACAGAAACACATACACACACATACATACCAACACACATACATACACACAAACACATACACACACGTACATACACACATACAGACACACAGACATAAACACATACAAAAAAACCCACATACATACACACACAGACATACACACAAACACATACACACACATACATACACACATGCATACAGACACACAGACATACACATAAACACATACACATGACCCGGCTTCGCCCGGGACTTGGATCCACCACGCCCGGCCGCCTTTGTCTCCCAAGTGCCGATGTTATACGCCACACCAGTTACTCGTTTGAGGCTGAGTCGACCTAGGGGAGGTTCAAATAATCGTCACCGGTGGTGGGCGTGAGCGGGAATCGAACTCGGTTCGCCGGGTTGGTAGCGCAGCGTAGCGTTAAGCACTACACCCACCGCTCCTCACACACCACACACGCACAGACACACACACAGACACACGCAGACACACACAGACAGACACAGACAGACACACACACACACAGACACACAGACAGCACGCTAAGCACTACACTACCGCTCCCCACACACCACACACGCACACACACAGACACACACACAGACACACACACAGACACAGACAGCACGCTAAGCACTACAGTACCGTTCCCCCTACACAACACACGCGCGCGCGTCCATAGGTACACATACACGCGCTTGCTGCAGACACACACGACTTTCAGGGTGCGTAAGGCAGTAAGCGACTGAAATAATAAAGCGGCAATGCTGTGCGAGGAACGCCTTAGGCCAGCAACACATTTGTGTAATGCGAGCGTAAACACACACACACATACATACACACACATACACACAAACACATACACACACATACACACACATACATACACACAGACATACACATACACACAAACACACACATACATGCACACAAACACATACACAATACACACACACATACATGCAGACACACAGACAGACACATAACACACATACATACACACACATACATAGAAACACATACACACACATACATAGACACACACATACATACACACAAACACATGCACACACGTACATACACACATACATAGAGACACGCAGACATACACATAAAGACATACAAAAAAACCCACATACATACACACAAACATACACACAAACACATACATACATACACACATAGAGACACACAGACATACACATAAACACAAACACACATGCACATGACCCGGACTTGGATCCACGATGCCCGGCCGCCTTTGTCTCCCCAGTGACGATGTTCACACACGACAGCAGTTACGCGTTTGAGGCTGAGTGGACCTAGGGGAGGGCCAGGTCCGTTTCAAATAATCGTCAGCGGTGGTGGGCGTGAGTTGGAATCGAACTGGGGTCGCTCAAGCAGCTTAATGACTGTTTGTACAAAGAACATATAAAGAATCGATTATAATAACCAGGCAAGAGTCCACATTATAGACTGCCAGTACACGCACTCAGCTTCATAAGCAGGCTAGAGTGTACATGATAGAGTGGCAGTACGCTCACCGAGCTTAATAAGCAGGCTACAGTGTACATGATAGACTGGCAGTACGCTCACCCAGCTTAATGAGTATTTGTACAGTGAACATTAAAGTAATCGATTGTTGGCGCGTTGGGTTTAAAAGTAATATTAATAGCACACATTGTGGTGGGGGTGTAGTGAAGAGTAGGAAAAACTTTGATAAATTTACCTCAGAGTGGCGTGGTGGGTGTCGAGGCCTAGTAGCGTGCAAAGCCTGCGGCCTCGCCTAAAATTGTCGGCTTGGAAGAGGCAGGGTACGGGTGGCGTTCCTTCCCCCCCCCCTAGCGCTCCAACAATACTGTGTAATGGGTATTATTTAATTAAATACAGAGCTTATGAAAGTGGCGAAGGCGTGGCTAGCCGTTGGCAGGGGCAACCGCCGTCCAATGACACTGCAGCCCTTGGCGAAGGCGTGGCTAGCCGTTGCCAGGTCCAATGAAAGCGGCGAAGGCGTGGCTAGCCGTTGCCAGGGGCAACCGCCGTCCAATGAAAGTGCGTATGGGCCAAAGTCCACACACACACAGACAGACAGACATGAACGATTTTATATATATAGATTACATCTTGAATCATTGCCTCACTTGATGTAGCTAATTCGGCTGTGACATTCCCACCTGATGACGGAGACTTGTGTTGCCTCCGAAACGTCGTGATTTTTGTTTTATTTTCATTAATTTTGATGTTTTACCTACGTGACTTTACCGAAAAAACCTAAGAATATAAATTACAGTGAAACCTTGGATAAGCCACTTTTTGTGAGCTGGTCGCTTCTGAAAACAAGTGCGGTATAGCAGCTGAAGTGGGCTTGACCTGGTAGGATAAAACAAATAAACTGTAGAAATAATTAAAAGAAACAAAGTTTCAAAGTAGTGAGCCAGATGAAGACAAATTAAACTTAAGCAGAGAATTAAAGCAAATGCAATCAGGCGAGGGCAGGAGGCAAGGCCCCGCATGGCTAGGCCCCGCGTCGTAATGTTCCAACCTGGACATGGATTCCATACTCGCTGCTACTCAATTGATATCCCTACGAGAGACGGAGCGAGGCTCTACCTGGGTAAACAACAACAACCACCACAACAACCACCACCACAACAACAACAACCACCACGATGTCAACTTCTCACCTCGGATCTCAGTGAGCGCGCGCGCGGTGCAGCAGCTTCCGGATATGTCGTGACGTCACGCGGCAGCAGGAGGTGACATGACGTCACTAGCGGGGTTCATGACACAATCCCCTCCCCCAACGAGCAGCTGTTATTGAATAAATTATGTTAATAAGTCGGGTCCGTGTGGGGAGATTGGGCTTGGCTGCTAAACCTGTTGCAATGAACGAGCGACGGTTTTCATGAATAAATTATGTTAATAACTCGCCAGTGACTGGGCGTAGTTTTTCCCAAAAAAGGATTTTTACTGGAACGGAAATCGACAGTGACCAACTAGACGTGACGTCACGCTCAAAAGCGCGGTCTAGGGGGGGTTGGGGGGTTGAATACCTTGGTGACATGACGTCACTAGCGGGGTACAGCTCTCCCTTGCGTCTCACGCCGACAGGTTAATGAGTGGTGACGTCAGAGAGCGAGATCAGGGTTAGAGTTTAAGTTAATTTAGATTACATTTCTATTGTTACCTCTCTTGAACAGAGACCCCTTGGGTGTGTGAGTTCAACAACAACGTGAACATTATTGTGTGTGTACACTGTGTGTGTACACTGTGTGTACAAACTACGTGTTTGTGTACACTGTGTGTACAAACTGTGTGTGTGTGTACACTGTGTGTGTGTACACTGTGTATACAATGTGTATGTGTACACACTGTGTGTACACTGTGTGTACACTGTGTGTGTACAAACTGTGTGTGTACAAACTGTGTGTGTGCGTGTACACTGTGGGTTGGCACAGTCGGGGGTACAGGTGGTGCATTGGCCAGTCAACGGAGTCAGTCGACCCATGGCACCTGGGTCTATCCCGTGCACATGGCCTGGCACAAACGCCATGGTGACGTCACCGCCACTTAGTGGCGAATGGCGGTTGTTGTTCTTGTAACTGTGGACAGTGCTGTGGGTGGAGGGCCAATTCCGATTAGCCTTTCCCCTCGTGGCATTCGTAGCTACCACATCAGCTAAATGGGGGCTCTGGATGGGTGTGAGGGGCTGGTAACTCCTCCACCTTCAATAAATTACAACTAAACCACGTCTAAGATGAAACTGAAAATGCTTTGCCACACTGCACTTGAAGGGCAATTTTTTCGGTGTGTTCTCTGGTGGCTCTGAATAACTGATAAACATGCTAATTTCACCAACTTGTGCACAGTAACGGGTACACACAGTACTTAAAGGGGTATCGTCCCCTTCACTCGTCTACCAGGGAGACACAACATCTAACCCGCTAACCTACGCCCGAGTCCTCCACTATGGAGCTAGGGGAGGCTACCTATCCCAGCCCTGGTCAAGCTGGGATCCCGGCACCCTGAGTCTCCAGACCGGCTCTTATAAGAACGTCAGTCTGGGCTCTCGGGGCCACGCCACCGGCTTGCCCTGGTCGGCCCTGACAAGGACAGCGAGCCAGGGGAGTTCCGGGGCCTATCCTAGCTGGTCTTCAGTCTTCGCTGGTTTAAGCTAATACTCGACCTCGAGCCCTCCGGCTCACCACCTTTTATAGTACTCGGCCCCCCAGGAGGGGCCCGTGGGGGATGCAGGTGCGGACGTCGGTGTGAGCACCTCCTCTGTGTACGGCTTTAACCACGCCCCTTGTGTTTGTTAGCCATCCATGCCCATGCACAATTACACCTCTACATCACCCCCCCCTGTACAGCTCGCAGCCGTCCCCGGCTGCAACAAAATCAGAATAAAGGTGCATCCCTCCCCAAAACCGTGTGTGCCTCGCGTAATTTTAACAAGAACAATAACAACAGGAAACAAAAAAAAAACCCGGCGCACCCCCCCTGAATAAATACCCCATTCCGCAAAAAAACAACATATATACACGCACTCCGGATGCCCCCCCTTTCATCCGCAAGGGCCCCCCAACGGCCGACCTCGCAAAAGTCTGCGCGTTTTGGCGCGCGTTCTCGCGGCGGGCCCGTCACAAGGGTCCGCCCCAGCTCGCCCAGTGGCGGGTGTCGACAGTCCGGGTGCGAAAGTGTCTGGCATCGCTGCCGGGTGACCCCCGACCCCCCCGGGAGGGGTTGGCGGTCGTGGACCCGTCACTCCTGTTGCACCTGGAGATGGGACAGTGGATGTCAGGTTAGGCGAAAGCAGCGACGTCGGGGAGTCGGCGGACCCATCACACGTTTGGCCATGCGTGTGTGTGTGCGAACCACGGGGCGGTGCAATGAACGGTTTCAGCCTGGAGGGGTGCACGTACCACCGACGCCTCCCCCATTTGACGCGTACACATTGCGGCCGCAAGACCTGTACGACCTCCACGGGCCCCCGCCACGGCCGTACCAACTTTGACGAGGTCGCCAGTGGCACCTGGGGACAGTGCAACCATGCCCTGTCCCCCGGTTTCCATTTGAACACATGTACCCGCCCCAGCCTAAGCCTCTCGTTCGCCTTCTGGCGGAGTTCAGAATTTTGCACGGCTGCTTCCCGCGCCTCGGTTAATTTTCTGATGTTAAATTTAACGTGTTCGGACAATGTAGACTTCGCCTGAGGCGCCGAGAGCTTCAGCTGAGCCGTCACAGGCGGGTTAGCCTCGCGGCCATACATTAAAAAGAAAGGTGAAAATCCGGTGGCCGCATGGGGAGCCATCCTGTAGGCTTGTAACACACCGGCAATGCGAAGGTCCCAATCTGTCTGGGATTCCGATACCTGCTGGGACAGCATGGACGTGATAGTCCGATGCAGCCGTTCCACCATCCCGTCAGTTTGTGGGTGATATGGGGAGGTCCGAATTTTCTCCGTACCCAAGAGGTCGCACACCTCGCGGAGGAGTTTCCCCGAAAAATTCTTACCCTGGTCAGTCAGCAGCCGTTCCGGAGCACCCTTGTCGAGGACATAGCCCTGGACAAAGGCCTCCGTGATGGCTGCTGCCGACTGGTTGGCCAGGGGCCAGGCCATGGGCCATCTCGTGAAGTATTCGACCACTGTCAATAAATACCTATTTCCCCTGGGTGTAGCGGGAAATGGCCCGAGAATATCCAGAGCAATGAGCTCGTTAATCCGGGAAACCTTTATGGACTGCAGCGGAGGGTTGGACCTCCTCGCCGGTGGCTTTCGCTGCGCGCATTGCGTGCACGACCCCAGGGGATCCCCCACGTCCTTTGCCATGCCCGGCCAGAAGAAATCGAGCTGGAGCATGGCAAGGGTTTTGTGAGTCCCCAAGTGCAGGAGCCGCTCATGCGCAGCCCATACCACCTTACCCCTCAATGCTGCAGGCACCACGAGCCGTTGGCGGCGGGATTTCCCGTCCCAGTGCATTAAAAGCCCCTGGAACAACCCCCATGAGTCAACGTTCGCCACCCCCTGACCAACCCCCCCGGTGCGACGGCGCAGAGCGAGGAGGGAGGTGTCCTCCATTTGGAGGCGTCCCCACTCCGCAACCGACAACCCCAGCAACGAATCCTTCCCTTCTTGCTCGATAGGACCCGAAGCTGAAGGCGCATCGGCAGCGGCCACGAGGACCGAATCGGTGGTCACGTTCGGGGGCCTACAACGCCCCGAATCCAAGAGGCAAGCGCACTCCGAAGTGGGTGGCAACCGCGACAGGGCGTCAGCGTTCGTGTGGCGGACGCCCTTACGATATGTGGTGACAAAGTCGTAGTCTTGGAGAATCTCCAACCATCGAGACAACTGCCCCGATGGTTGTTGAACCCGCAGGGCGTACTGCAGAGCCGCATGATCTGTATGGACGGTGAAACGTCGACCGTACAGATACGGGCAGTACTGCTGAACGAAATAAACAATTGCCAATAATTCCCGACGGGTAAAGCAGTACCGTTGTTCCGCCGGAGACAGTACCCGACTACCGCAAGCCACCACATGCTCTACGCCACCAATGAGCTGGGACAGCACGCCCCCAATGCCCGTGTTACTTGTGTCTGTATCGAGCAAGAAGGGTTGTGAGAAATCGGGATAATTCAACGGCGGAGCCCCCACCAGGGCATTCCGGAGGGCGTGAAAAGCAGCCTCCTCCTCCGGCCCCCAATGAAACCTGACCCCCTTGGACGTCAAGGCATGCAATGGTTTCGCGATCGTAGCGAAGTCAGCCACAAACCGTCGGTAGTACGACGCGAACCCAATGAAACTCCTGACCTCTCCCACCGAGGTGGGAGTCGGCCAGGAGCTGACGCATTCCGTTTTGGCGGGATCAGTGGATATCCCCGAGCGTCCAACAATATGACCCAAATACCGCACCGATTCGCGGAGCAAATGGCACTTCTGCGGTTTAAATTTCAAATTGGCAGCCCGCATTTTGAGAAAAACAGCACGCAACCTCTGGAGGTGTTCATCGAATGATTTGCTAAAGACGATGACATCGTCCAAGTAAATTAAACACGAATCCCATTGCAAGCCCGCCAAGACCAGTTCCATTAACCGCTGAAAAGTTGCTGGCGCAGAATGTAAGCCCATCGGCAAGCGGTTAAATTGGAAGAGGCCTTGCGGTGTACGGAAAGCAGTCTTAGGTTGGGATTCGTTATCCAGAGGAAGCTGCCAGAATCCAGAAAGTAAATCCAGGGTGGAAAAGAATCGCGCCCCCGCCAAGGCATCGAGCGACTCATCCATTCGAGGAAGCGGGTACGTATCTGCCACAGAAATTTTGTTCAATCGCCGAAAGTCGACACAAAACCGCAGTGAGCTGTCGTGTTTTTTCACCAAAACGATCGGCGCGCCCCACGGGCTGTTGGAAGGGGAAATGATATCGGCGGCTAGCATGTCATCAACGGCCAATTTGACATGATCTTTTTCGGCGGGACTCAACCGAAAGGGATTTTGGCGGATTGGCGCGCTGTCACCCGTGTCAATATGGTGTCGCAGCAATTTAGTACAACCAATATCAAATTTGTGTTGACTAAAAACGTCGGCAAATTCTTTCAGGAGAACTCGCAGCTGCGCACGCTGCGAGTCGGACAGGTGCACTGATCCCGCGCAAAGCGCATCCAGCCATCCGT